TGAGATAATACTTACACGTACACTGTACTAATGGAATCAATGATGATGAAATTGACAGATTCTTGTAGTCATACATGTACATATGCCTACATGTACTATATATGGTCTTTAGCTCAAAGATGTTAGCTGATTAATGTGAATTGTATTTATTATATTTTTTAGAAATTATGACAGAGCTTTAGGTAAAATTATAATGTTGGATGATGATGAAAATGTTCCAATTCCTGTACTTATGACAATTCCTGTTTTTATTTATTTGTCTTTTAAATTAAAATTTTTACACATGCCCACTAGAGCCGCTGAGCCAAAGCTAGGACCTTGAAATATGACGACAAAGTAATGCTGTCCTCTTAGAAACCCTGTCTTTCCTCTTATACCGTCCGATGATTGGGCCACTGGTTTTCTATGTAGAGTTAGGCAGTCGTCCTTGATGTATATGTTCTTGGAAGCGTCCTGTCCGTTCCAGGCGCACTCATAAGCGAGGGCTTTGGATCTAAAGGTCTGTAGCTCTGAGAGGTGTTTTGAGTTTCTGACTACGAAATGTCTTGTGCCAGCGTCTTCGAATTGGCTCGCCAAATGATTGAGTCCTCGTCACTGAGGAGACTGTACCATTTCTTACATACCATACTCATAGATATTAGAGTAAATGAAGGTCTTTAAAACTGGTGTATATGAATATTCTCTCTAATACGAAATGGGGTAGGAGAGATATCATGTCAGCCATTTTGTTTTAGGAAGGAGTTCGAGTGGCGTAAACACTAAACAGTTAACTCCCACGCCTTCTCTGAGCGAGTGCCGCTGCTTGCTGGTCCGAGGCGAGGTATTCTTTCTCGATTCTTCTCCTGACTTTTCTTTTTAAGTCCTGTTTCTACTATAATTTTTATACCGACTCAGAGGTTGCTGCAAATTTGCTACAGCGGGGTGGCTGAAAGCCACGCTATTACCCGCAACTAAGAGAAGTAAGACGACTTAGATCTATACACTCACTGACCTGACACCTATCATATAGACTGCCTGTTATATATACGGTGCTATAAATGACTTCGAGGGTTGTTGCCAAATACAGCCTAAACCTGCGAATTAATGAATCTTTACAGTAACACTGGACAGTATTATTGGCGGCTGTCCGGAATAGATTTGTAAATTTTGCATTATCTGTTTCCAATTACTAAGAAATGTATGCTACCGTAGGGTGCCTTTTTTCAAGGACTGTAAATTTCACGAATTTCCCTAAAAATATATATTGCGGATTTAATTTTTGTGAATTTATGCCATCTTGTACTGTAATTGCCGGTTTGATTTCGCAGAAGCAATTTTCGCAAATCTTCAAAAAATTGCAAAATCTGCAAAATTTACAGCCCTTGATAAAAAGGTATCCTACGGTATCAGTGGCTCATTATTCATGTGGAATCTATAGCTATGATAGTGGTTGGTTAACTTCCTTAATCAGAAATTCAGAATGCCAACTGCTTAGCAGGGCATGACCTGCCCTTGTTTGGGTATCATGCATTTTAGCTCTGGAATGGCAATTATGCTGGTATATAGATGTTAGTTTCTCAAATGAAAATGTAGAATTAGGCCTAACTCGATCCCCTACCTATCCAATTTCCATAATAATCAAATCTTATTCGTAATTTCATGATATAGAATTAGTATCTGAACAATCAGATTATATTTTCTTTCCTTTTTCTCTTAATTCTCCTCTTTCAACTGATTCTCTCATAACTAAGTACTGGAGAGATGGGGAACAAGCAAACTAGTGAATCTGATCATGACACGGTATGATAGCTAATATTGTCATAATGTCGAGTTTATTCACATAAAAATTATATGACACTGTGCATGTATATGTGCCTCTAAATTTTAGTCAAATACCTCCTAGTTAATGCCGATACCTATTATTATAATAATTTTTATGGACCAAAAGTAAAGCTTTAAGGTGGGTGTGGTGCAAGTATTATGAATTCTTGCATACTAAAAATTATAACAGCAATTGCCATCAATGCCATGCAAGCTATTATTTTCTAATCTGACTCTGATATCAATAAAATTATAGTAATTGAACTGTTGTTTTTTACAGTACATGATTCATAATGTGGATGATTGTACTATTATTTAGTAAATTTTATCTTTTAATCTGTCTTTCTCTCTGATATTAATCAACAATAATTAATCTGTTGTCTTGGTCACACAATAGCCAGTAAGTCATAATGTGTACTATTATTTACATTTTATCTTTTAATCCGTCTTTCTCTCTGATATCAATCAACAATAATTAATCTGTTGTCTTGGTCACACAATAGAGAGTAAGTCATAATGTGTACTATTATTTACATTCTATTTTTAATCTGTCTTTCTCTCTGATATCAATCAACATTAATTAATTGTTGTCTTGGTCACACAATAGGGAGTAAGTCATAATGTGTACTATTATCTACATTTTATCTTTTAATCTGTCTTTCTCTCTGATATCAATCAACAATAATTAATCTGTTGTCTTGGTCACACAATAGCTTGTAAGTCATAATGTGTACTATTATTTACATTTTATCTTTTAATCTGTCTTTCTCTCTGATATCAATCAACAATAATTAATCTGTTGTCTTGGTCACACAATAGACAGTAAGTCATAATGTGTACTATTATTTACATTTTATCTTTTAATCTGTCTTTCTCTCTGATATCAATCAACAATAATTAATCTGTTGTCTTGGTCACACAATAGGAAGTAAGTCATAATGTGTACTATTATTTACATTTTATCTTTTAATCTGTCTTTCTCTCTGATATCAATCAACATTAATTAATCTGTTGTCTTGGTCACACAATAGGCAGTAAGTCATAATGTGTACTATTATTTACATTTTATCTTTTAATCCATCTTTCTCTCTGATATCAATCAACAATAATTAATCTGTTGTCTTGGTCACACAATAGATTGTAAGTCATAATGTGTACTATTATTTACATTTTATCTTTTAATCCGTCTTTCTCTCTGATATCAATCAACATTAATTAATCTCTTGTCTTTGTTACACAATAGGAAGTAAGTCATAATGTGTACTATTATTTACATTTTATCTTTTAATCTGTCTTTCTCTCTGATCTCAATCAACATATCTGTTGTCTTGGTCACACAATAGGCAGTAAGTCATAAAGTGTACTATTATTTACATTTTATCTTTTAATCCGTCTTTCTCTCTGATATCAATCAACAATAATTAATCTGTTGTCTTGGTCACACAATAGGCAGTAAGTCTTAATGTGTACTATTATTTACATTTTATCTTTTAATCCGTCTTTCTCTCTGATATCAATCAACAATAATTAATCTGTTGTCTTGGTCACACAATAGTTCGTAAGTCATAATGTGTACTATTATTTACATTTTATTTTTTAATCCGGCTTTCTCTCTGATATCAATCAACAATAATTAATCTGTTGTCTTGGTCACACAATAGAGAGTAAGTCATAAAGTGTACTATTATTTACATTTTATCTTTTAATCCGTCTTTCTCTCTGATATCAATCAACATTAATTAATTGTTGTCTTGGTCACACAATAGGGAGTAAGTCATAATGTGTACTGTTATTTACATTTTATCTTTTAATCCGTCTTTCTCTCTGATATCAATCAATAATAATTAATCTGTTGTCTTGGTCACACAATAGATTGTAAGTCATAATGTGTACTATTATTTACATTTTACCTTTTAATCTGTCTTTCTCTCTGATATCAATCAACATTAATTAATCTGTTGTCTTGGTCACACAATAGCCAGTAAGTCATAATGTGTACTATTATTTACATTTTATCTTTTAATCTGTCTTTCTCTCTGATATCAATCAACATTAATTAATCTGTTGTCTTGGTTACACAATAGGAAGTAAGTCATAATGTGTACTATTATTATATTTTATCTTTTAATCCGTCTTTCTCTCTGATATCAATAAACATTAATTAATCTGTTGTCTTGGTCACACAATAGTTCGTAAGTCATAATGTGTACTATTATTTACATTTTATCTTTTAATCTGTCTTTCTCTCTGATATCAATGAACATTAATTAATCTGTTGTCTTGGTCACACAATAGGAAGTAAGTCATAATGTGTACTATTATTATATTTTATCTTTTAATCTGTCTTTCTTTCTGATATCAATCAATTGTTGTCTTGGTCACACAATAGGCAGTAAGTCATAAAGTGTACTATTATTTACATTTTATCTTTTAATCCATCTTTTTCTCTGATATCAATCAACAATAATTAATCTGTTGTCTTGGTCACACAATAGGAAGTAAGTCATAATGTGTACTATTATTTACATTTTATCTTTTAATCTGTCTTTCTCTCTGATATCAATCAACAATAATTAAACTGTTGTCTTGGTCACACAATAGTTCGTAAGTCATAATGTGTACTATTATTTACATTTTATCTTTTAATCCGTCTTTCTCTCTGTTATCAATCAACAATAATTAATCTGTTGTCTTGGTCACACAATAGGCAGTAAGTCTTAATGTGTACTATTATTTACATTTTATCTTTTAATCCGTCTTTCTCTCTGATATCAATCAACAATAATTAATCTGTTGTCTTGGTCACACAATAGCAAGTAAGTCATAATGTGTACTATTATTATATTTTATCTTTTAATCTCTTTCTTTCTGATATCAATCAATTGTTGTTTTGGTCACACAATAGAGAGTAAGTCATAAAGTGTACTATTATTTACATTTTATCTTTTAATCTGTCTTTTTCTCTGATATCAATCAACAATAATTAATCTGTTGTCTTGGTCACACAATAGGAAGTAAGTCATAATGTGTACTATTATTTACATTTTATCTTTTAATCTGTCTTTCTCTCTGATATCAATGAACATTAATTAATCTGTTGTCTTGGTCACACAATAGTTAGTAAGTCATATTGTGTACTATTATTTACATTTTATCTTTTAATCCGTCTTTCTCTCTGATATCAATCAACAATAATTAATCTGTTGTCTTGGTCACACAATAGCAAGTAAGTCATAATGTGTACTATTATTATATTTTATCTTTTAATCTCTTTCTTTCTGATATCAATCAATTGTTGTTTTGGTCACACAATAGAGAGTAAGTCATAAAGTGTACTATTATTTACATTTTATCTTTTAATCTGTCTTTTTCTCTAATATCAATCAACAATAATTAATCTGTTGTCTTGGTCACACAATAGGAAGTAAGTCATAATGTGTACTATTATTTACATTTTATCTTTTAATCCGTCTTTCTCTCTGATATCAATCAACATTAATTAATCTGTTGTCTTGGTTACACAATAGGAAGTAAGTCATAATGTGTACTATTGTTATATTTTATCTTTTAATCTGTCTTTCTTTCTGATATCAATTGTGGTGTATGAATACTCAGAGTATTATGTTGTATATGTAATTATTATTATTGTTTACATTCCTGTGTGTACTAATTAACTTCCTGTTGTGTGTATATATAAACTCTCATGTTGCTCAGTTGTGTAATCGTTTGGTTTGAGTTGTGTTTCTTATCTTGAATAAATATTATAACAAAACACTACAAATTGGCGACGAGGGTGGGATGGAGAAGTATGGACAGTTGACTG